CTGGGATTTAAACCGGGTTATCTTGTGTATTGATCAAATTCACAGGGTACTTACTGTAATAGCTAAAATAAGAGAATATTTATTCACGTGCTTTAAACCACGTCCCATCTTTCCTTTCGATCTCACCATCTCTACTATCGTCTAACCTCACCTCCCCCTCCCAAAAAAAAAAAACACATTAAATCAAACCTACACCAAATCCTTTTCTTATAGAGCCTACAACCTCCAGGACTTGGGCCATGATACTGTGACTGCCAACCTCCTCCTCCATCACCCACCAGACTTGCGCACCTATGACATTGCCACAGAAATCCTCTCCGACCTCGGTGTTACCACCGTCCGTCTTCTCACTAACAATCCGGATAAAATAGAGCAAATCGAAGCCGATGAGATCAAAGTGATTCAACGAATTCCCATGGTGCCGAAAGCATGGCGGGAAGGGAAAGTCGATAAGGAGAAACAAGGAAGCGAGCTTGATAACTATTTGAGAGTCAAGGTCGAGAGGATGCGGCATCTGTTAGATATACCTGAAAATTTGTTAACGCAAGAATCAGTCTTATCAAATTTTTGGAGAAATTAGGGTAAATGTAAAAAAAAATGCGAGGAAGCGAGGACGATGATAATGGCAGAAGGAGAATTAGGAACGTTCCAGTGTTATTTATTTTACTTACCACATACTTCTCATTAGAGCATAATGTGTCACACACCATTCCTTATGATTCTCTCCTAACACTCTTTCCTCACAAAGGAAAGACGAAATCAAGAAACTAAAAGACTTTAGAAACTTTAGAATTGAGATATTAACTCAACATAATCGTTCCCGCGATAATCATTTTAAATCACCCAAATTATTCTATATACTCTGTAGTCTTATAATTTATTTCATTATTTTCTGCTAATAAGGGTTGTTGACAGTAAAATAGACTCGAGATTTTAATAAAGTTGGTGGTATGATTTTATGACGTGGCGTTAGGCGGAAGCAGAAGAAGATGGAATGAGGGTGACATACAATCTGAACTCAGTTCATCATTTATGATATCTAGCAGGCACAAAAGGCATTTTGACAACGCTTGCCTTCTGAAGCCGATTGCGCACTTTCACTTGTAAGTTCGTGCCTTGCTCGTGATAACCTGACTTGACATATCCCATTGCTATATTTTTCTTAAGACTTGGAGATGGACCGCCACTTGTTATTTTTCCTAGAGTTGATTGAAGGAGGTTTTGAGAATGCATACTGTAATCTGAAAAGGATAGAAAGTGTTGTGTATGGGTGACGTACCGATTGTTTCACCAGACTCACTTAGCATTTCCGCGTTTTCTGTCGTTATTGGATAAACTATGAGTTTTGTTTTTTATTTATACGTTAACTGAATTAAAACTGTTGTCTTACCTCTTGCCGGAGCGCCTTCTACAACAAGTCCAACACGACGACGCGCGACACCATCCTTTATTTGAGGAAGTATCTTTTCTGCTCCGATAAAACCTCCCTCTTCCCTCCGTCGCTTGCCTATATATAGTACAATGAGTGATTGTCGGAACGCATACAGCCCAGTACAAATCGGTACGATTCAATATCCCGCACTAACGCCTATAAAATCGGTTCTCAACCATATATGGATAAATTATCATTTCGCACCAATTGTCCATGTCAATCCAGCCTCAACTGGCGTAGTAGTGTCATCCAAATCGTGACCGTATAGGCATAACCCGGCTTCCAATCTCAAACTATCTCTTGCGCCAAGCCCTGCCAATTGGACTACAGGGTTTGATAAAAGTATTTCTGAGAGATGTGCTGCCTCTGGCGCAGGCACGGCGATCTGCGGATATTTTTGATAGTCGGTTAAATGAGTTGTAGTGTTCACGGCTATTGCATTAATAAAATTAGTCAAATTCGTTATGCGACTCTTTCTAATATATTGACAGCACTTCACATACCTCAAATCCATCTTCACCAGTATATCCAGACCGTGCCACATGACATTCAATGCCTTTTATTTTAATAAATCGGCCATTCATGAATTTAAAATCACTTAGATCTTGATTCAAGATGTTCTGAAGCACTTCTGCTGATTTGGGACCTGTAAAATTAAATATTGATTGTCGGGTAGGTTGTTAGCTGATACTACAGTTAATAGCATCAGCTAAAATTCATATCCGCCCGTACCCTGTAATGCCAATAGTCCATGGTCTGTAATGACATCCAGCTCGGCATCACCACCGCTCTTCTTAAACTTATCCAATTCTGTGCGCATGTGTGCTAAATCCTTCTCGGCGCAAGCGGCATTGGAGACTATATATATGTGATCGTCATGTTTGCATATAACGGTGTCATCGATAATGCCTCCGTTCTCATTAGTGAACACTGAAAGTGTTGATTTTCCAGATGGAAGGTTTTGCACATCGGCTACGATGACTTTTTCAAGAAACGCAATTCTATCTTTGCCTGTCAACCTACGAAAATTGTCTTCATTAAGTACAGAAGACTATTTCCAAATCGCATCCTTATCCACCAAGCGCACACAAAACGCACGCACATATACCTTGTTTGAAGCATATGTGACACATCAAATAATGAAGAGTTCTCCCGCGTATGCAAATGTGAAGCCAGTACACCCGTATTTGCATATTGAACAGGCATCAAATATCCGGCAAAGGGAACCTTAAGTTGTGAATTATAGAGTGATTGTAAGTGAATATGGAAGACAACGCATCTATACAAGGATATTACTTGTGACATAACATTACCATTTTACCACCATTTTTAACGTGGAAATCATACAAACATGTCTTCTTCAATGGCTGATTCAATCGTTATCAACAAATAAGAAAAGAATGTTCAATTTCGCAACGATACGCGTCGACATCAAATCGAAACTGTTATATTCCTTGTTTGATACCTGATCTGTGGTAGCAGAGACATAGCCACGCTTAAATAACAAAGTTCTTCCGACCTTTGTTGCTCGAGAAGCGAAAATTCTCACAGACATGGTGGGAGTAAATGGTGAACAATTATTATTTTTTTGTTTAAAAAGAAAAAAAAAAAAGGCTTTTTTATTTTAGACTGGTTTCCATTTTTGGATTGACAGATCTACCTAAAGTGACACGATTGGAGTCTGGGAAGTTTATAACTTTGTCATGTCAACGAGTAGATATCAGAACTCGATGAATGATTTAATACGTGAGATTGAAAGTGGCGAACGATTTTCGATGTCGTCCGGAGATGAACGGCGTACGAGTATAGCCAATGGAAGTCGTAACGAAGCAGAACAAGGTAGGTCTTTTGAATTCAGTGTGTCAGCTGCACAATAAAAGAGTTAAAGGCTACCAGTCTCGTTTGTCTCGTCATATCGTATAAATGTTTCGTTCTCTGTTTTGCCATTATAGGATCGACACCTCTTTCTTCCACAATCATATCTGCTATAAATAACTTGACTATAGATGAGAATTCCGACGATGGATTAACTGACGATGAAATGATTTCATTTGGCGAAGCTGTAAGTTTTATTGCGTTTTCTCTGGTCATTTACATATGAATGCTTTCAGAACATTGAACGGTAATCAATATATATAAAACAGGATTCATTCCGTAGACCGTCACAGTCCATGGCATCATCGTCGGGTAATCCATTGGCAATATCTCCTGAAGCAGTAGTCGCTCCAGCCGAAAACTTGCGGACCATTGTTGTTGATCGATCGACAGGGCAAATTGAAAATTACCGGCTGCTTAAGTCAGGAGATTTGATGACTGATGAAGAAGTCATGGATTTCATAATGAAGTGAGTGAGGAGAACAGAGTACGGTTTAACGAGGGATAATTTCAAACACTACAAGACATTGTCTTAGTCCCCAAGAATCTATTGCCGAGATTAGTAAACCAATGGCAATAAGTAACGTAACCGTCTCTGCGAGTATGCTAATGTAATTTAACTGCCTCTTGAAAGTCTAGTTGCTCATCATATCTCATCATTACGATAAAGGCCTGTTCCGCAGGGCAAGAAAGTTCTTTGTAAGATAACAAGAAAAACCGATGGCATCGGGAAATTCTATCCATTATATCAATTATACGTCGAGGATCCTGTCGATGATACCAGAACATTCATGCTTTCCGCCCGAAAACGCAAAAATAGTAAAAGCTCGCACTATGTCATTGCTTCTACACGGACAATAGATAATGGTCCATCTCAATCTGTGGTTGGAAAAGTAAGGTGAGTTGGAGTGACTTTGATAAAAGATGAATTAGTAATGGCGAATTGAGTAGTAATGGCGAAGTGAGTAGTAATGGTGAAGTGAGTATTAATAGAATGTTCCTATGGCGTTATAGGTCCAACTTTCTCGGTACAGCATTTGCAATATATACAAACGGTCGAAACCCACTAAAACGAGAGCCAGAATTGGCTCATCTACCAATAAGAGAAGAATTGGGTGCTGTCGTTTACGTAAGTGGATCGGGGTCCGTATTATTTCATCGACAATCATTTCACCGACTTTCACCAACAAAAAAGGGATAACTTCGAAATAGTGTTGGTGAATATTTGTCGGTGAAATGATTGTCGATGAAATGATTGTCTCCCAGTGGATCGAACATGATTAGCTTGTGATGATTAATATGCCAATACATCGTGCAACCGTTTAATTTGCAGGATCCGAACATATTGGGATTTAAAGGCCCACGAAAGATGACTGTTCTCATGACAAGCATGACTAAGAACGGAACGAGACCTGAATTTCGTCCGGAAAGGGTACTATCATAGTGACTGCTTGATATAACAAGTCGTATTTGTATTACATAATAACGGATTTGGTTTATATAATAGGAAGAAGATACGCTAATTGGGAAATACAGAAACGGAAACGATCGAGATATTCTGGTGCTTCATAATAAATCACCTCAATGGAATGAAGGTTAGTTGCACGAATTGAATAGTTGTTGGAATAAACTGATTTACTGAATAACAAGTACTCAATTGCAGAGACGGAATCGTATGTTCTTAATTTTAATGGCAGAGTTACTTTGGCGTCAGTGAAGAACTTTCAGATTGTGCATGATAACGATTGTGAGTACATCAATTTATCTATTCTTTGTTAACTAAATATGATGTGGAGGGAACAATAACCAATTCTGACAATATTGACTGTTGTTTGCTATCAATTCGCGTGTCTAATTATTCATTTCTAATATTTCAGTGGATTATATTATAATGCAATTTGGTCGGGTATCAGATGATACATTTACGATGGACTTTATGTATCCGATTTGCCCATTACAGGCATTCGCCATTGCCCTGACTAGCTTCGATGGCAAACTCGCATGTGAATAGAAACGTTGATCTAATACGCTAATATTAGTAAGAGGTGCGGGTGTGAGAGAGAAGCTGGAAGCTTACTGTATCGGTAGACTCTGAGTAGGTTATTATTTCTATATCAGCAGTAAAGGATGACTTAGTAATCATAGTGTCCCTACCTAGTATTCGTCATACCCTTAGTCACAGCACATTCAGCCTGTTATATTGTAAATCAGGATTAATTTTAATCTTTCTCAATAATCATATTAAATTAACTATATGGGGTGTACTGCAACAAAACCGGACAAAGTGAACATTTTGTTATGAATACATTGGTTTCTAGCGATCTGGATATAATGGCCCTAATTATAAATAATTATAATCTTCGCTAAAAGTGACCTTGGTTATAAGGAACTTCTGGTTATAAGGAATTCGTTATAACCAGGTTCGACTGTAAATTACATTTTAAGTTTATCGTTATATTGTGTGACTAATAAACATTACAATACTGAATATGCTTAATATAGAATTATGTCTAAAATATATTGATATGCACAATTAGAAGTATTTAAAGAAAGAGCAAGGAGAAAAAATTGCACCATACGTTTTTAAAATCAATGACACCAAAATCTCGAGGAATATCTCGATAAAGAAAAAATTACTTATGAAATTTATCAAGAACAAAAAAATAATAAACCATAAACGAACATTCACACACCAACTTATGATGAACCAAGAATGAAACGAAAAATTGAAGAAATATAAAGCAAATAGCTGCTTTTTATTATTGTTAACTAGACGTGTGCTGGGTAGGCCGACTGATTTCATCAGTCGGCGTGGATATATGTGGAGCAGGTTTTACGTGGAAGTTATTTGATGTTAATGTTTTGTTTTATTCTGGGATTTCAAAATGGGTTAACTCATTTTTGGTTTTTAAAATGCTTGTTATAACAGAATTTATAATAATTACAAACACATAAAAGATTAAAAATGAACAGCTGCTTATTCGTTTTAACAGTAGACCACAGCAATAACAATAATTAAAAAAATTAATAATTAATATAATCACTGTTTATAAAATGACAGTCAGCATCACAAGTGCTATTGGCCCTTCTATATGGACATTGTCATAGTAATAGAAAGTTTGTTTTGCTACTTTCATTGTTTATACTTGTCTCCTAATTACTATTGATTGATGGTGCTATATATAATCAAATACTTATAATTTGGCTGATGCAAAGAATATTAAGATTGTTAATTTTCAACAGTGTATGCATTTAATTTCATATGGGGCAGACTGCAACAAAACCAGACAAAGTGAACATTCTGAAATAAGAGGCTGGTGTGGCTGAAAGTTAAC